CCCTCAAAAAGCAGTGCTTTCTATCACGTACCTGGCAGAGAATCAATAGAGAATCCTCTCCTTGTTCCACTCCATCAAGTTTCACATCAGATGGGGTTTTTGTTTTGTCAAGTACTGCTTATAACTGAATCAACTGGGTCACTTGCTTAAAATGCAGAGTCTCTCATAGACCTTGGCCTCAAAGATGGACTCAAAGTTGGCTGGGTTAATTTTTCAAGCAGACTCCTAGCTCCTTGGTGGCAATGTAACAAGCTCCGGATAGACAGGGCTTGGGCTGGACCGGCATAGTGAGCTATCTCATGGGCCCAGGACTGTTCGCCACGTGTCTCACAGACCTCACCTGAGTGTGGCTGTACTTCACTGAGACATTGCAGGAGCCCACAGTTCTGGAAGAGGACGCCAGTGCCTGTAAGGCCTTGTCTAGCACAGTGCAGGTAGATAATTATTATGAATGATAATGCCTAGTGATTACTTTTTGATAGAAATAATAATAATAGTTCAAAGTCGAATTTATGACTTTGCTGTTCTCAAAACTCTTGTACTCTCATTATTTCCTTTGGTCTTACAATGAATGGTCCGATGAGGCAGACAAAACCAGGGCTTTTCCCATTTTAGGGTCATAGAAACTGAGACTCAAAGGCAGGTGACTTGTACAAGGTCTCACAGATGGGATTGCTGGCACTTAATCGCAGAGGTTCTGTTTCCATTTTCGTGCTGTACTTTGTTCTGCCTCGCTTGCTAATCTTCTGAATCAAAAGATTTGAAAGTTGAGGGACATTACTCAGGATGATAGAACTATATTTTAGGGATCAATAATGTGTATAAAGAAATTTGCAGTTGTGGTTTGCTATTAAAAATGCCAAATACTAATTTAAATAAAAATGAGAATTCATATTTCTGAGTTATTAGAGAAACAGACCCTATGATTGCATGTTAAAGCTTGACTCTTGGGTATCAGAAGGGCTTCTAAAGTTCATAATACCAACCTATAATCCCTCCGAAATTTTCCAGTGGTGTGCTGAAGCGGGAGCGGTTTGCACCTACATGTGAGAGCCAGTCGTGGGCATTTTTGGTTCACTCCATGGTTATTGATGTCACATTGATAGCTTGGAATTAATTGGCCATGGTGCAAGTATTTACCCTGCAGAGATCAAAATCCTCTATTTAGGACATTTTCACCGCCATAGAGGCAGCTGTTAAGTATTGCTAGCATGCCATTGCTTATAGCTAATGGTCACTAGTACAAAGTAGAGTTCAAAAGTTCTCTGTCCTCTCTATGGGACTTTCTTTGGTGTTGATTTTGTCTCTAACCACAAAATCATACCCCAGTGCCATTGCTTACATGGGAGACTCTTTCTATGAGTTTCTACTAATGGTGTCTTGTATTTGTGTAGTTTGCAAAGTGTTTTCATATTTCTCATCAGTTCTGAGCTTTGTGGGATTTATGGGGCAGATGCTGCCTCTCCTTGGTAGAAAGGAAGGACCTGGATGGAGATCCAACAGAGGATGCGACGACTCCCAGGACTAGATGTGGCAGCCCAGGGTTTGTTCTGTGCTCCTTCTCCTGTGCCAGCTGCTTCCTTCACTTAGAGCACTTGTAACGTCAGAGCTCAGGCTACTGTCTGGGGTGCAGAGAAGAGGCGTCAAGCAGCATAGAGTGTAACGCTGGTCTTAGCCCTTGACGGAAAAGGTTAGACGTGCTAACTTGGGGGTATCTACATTTAGTGGCTAGCTTTAAACTAGTCGCTTCCTTTAGAAACAGTTATGAGTATTTTGTATCTTTGGGTCCTACTGTAGGTCCTGCCCTCAGAATGGAACCTCCTGAATGATTCAGCATTGCTGCTGCTTCCCCTCTTGCACAACCCCCTGCTTTGCTACTGCCCGGTTATGGACTTATTGATTGGTGAGCATTTCACAACACATTTTCAAAACATGCCGAAGGTCAAGAATAAATGACTCATGGGCAGTAACATTTCTTTTTTGCCTCAGTCCCTCTATATTATGTTGGCCAGGTCAGCTAATGCAAACCAATGAAGAAACTGAGGCAAAAGTGAATTGTCCAGCCCTGGCCAGCAGGACGATTAAGTGGAACTAAACCACCTGCTCCAAAACAACTCCACAAACTCCTAATCTTCTCTTCAGTGACTGACCTGCTGAATTGCTTTGTCATTGTTGTTTTTCAGTTTCTTTCTGTTTATTTCACGCGTGACAGAGAACACTCACGACGGGGTCCCAATGCCATGATGCACAGCCAGGCTTTTGCCAGTCTTGAATAATAGGTGAGTGTGTACCTCAACTACTCAGAGAGATCTCTGGATTTGAACCTGGAGCCTACCCATGTAGGATTGTCTTACAGAGTGTTGCGTTTTACCACAGCACCACTGTCTGGCTCCCACTGTAGTTTTTAATACCAAGTAGCTGAAAGAGTGTAAGAAGCGAGTTAAGGGATTTCAGTGCTAATTTTGCAGCCATCTTGTCCCAGAGTACCAGAGAGGTACTCTGATGAGGAAAACTGTTACGCGATTTCAAGGAACGTTGTTGCTCTGCTAGTTTGTGATTCTCCATTAGTCTTTTAGAGAGCAGGTTCCCACAGGACAACGTGAAGGAATGTCTTAAAGTACAGTAGCAGAAAGTGCTCCAGAATAGGAGGCAAAGAATTTGGGCTAACTTTCAGTTTCGCAACCAGCAATTTTTTTCTTTTTCTTTCCTTTTTTTTCCCCTGTAGGGCATGTGCATTTGCCAGAGAACAGAGAGACAGAAAGTAAGAAATCACTCCCCGGGGAGATGACTACGCTGCAATCCCATTCTCCTATCGAGATATTGGGCACGCATGCACATGCACCTGGCCTGAGTGTTTTGAGCTGCTGGGTCTGGGACTCAAACCATGGTTTACTACGTGGGAGTCTAGCGATGTAACTTTACTCCATCTGCTGATCCCGCTGCCTGCAATTTGAGTATTCTGACTTGCTAGGCTTGCGGGCACCTCAGTTTCCTTATCTGTAAAATGGGACAGTGGCAATGCTGTCTTCCAGAGGGTTGTTTAAAAGAGCAAATGATATAATGTGCATGAGCTCGTTTTGCACGAACTTTAATGCATGAAGTGCCTACAATATGGGTAAGCCAAGAGATATTTGGGAAAAAAAGCATCAATGTGGTCATTTTAAAGATTCTTGACAGGTGGCATTTTCTTCCCTGTTTATTTGTTTATTTAAAATTTGCTATGTGTGTGTGCTCACCAGAAAGAAACAGAGAGAGTGAGGGGAGAGGGAGTGAGAAATAACCCCCCAGGGGGATGGCCATGCTACAATCCCTCTTTCTCTATTGTCTTCCTGGGGTTTTGGGCATGCACGCACACACACCCCCCGTGGTGTCCGGAAACCCTGAGTGATCCTCAAGCCATGGTGTCCGGGACTTGAATAGTAGAGTCGGCCATGTGAGATCAGCCGCCTTAACCCCCTGGCTATCTGCTGGCTCTTTTTCCTCTTTTTTCTCAAAAAGTAGTCAAATTTTGGGACCAGCAGTTAGCATGATGGCTATGTTGCTGGACTCCCATGCTGGACTCCCATGTAGTCGACTGTGGTTCAAGTCCTGGACCTGGTGGCTTAAACTCACACCGGGCGCATATGCGTGTGTGCCCAAGATCTCGAGAGGAAAAAGGAGGAGACAGGATTGTGGTGTGGCCATCCCCCCGGGGGGTGATTTCTCACTTTCTGTCTCTCTGTCTCTCTCTGTCTTTCTGGTGAGCGCATGTGCCCTAAAGGAAAAAAAAAAAAAACAAAAAAAAACAAAAAAAAAACAAAAAAAACCTCTCCAAAAAAAAAAAAGTAGTCAAATTTTCAAAATTAAAATTTCTGAATGCCTTTTCTAGAACAATCACGAGAGCTGGAGTTTCTTAGTAGTTCTCCTATAGGTTTTTATACTTTAAAAACCTTGAAGGTCCTTTAATTCTACATAATGTAATAAAAAAATAGAAAGTGTGATGAAGTCAAAGTCATTGATGGTGTCTGCCTGTCTTTTCCTCACTAGCACAGCCCTTCGCTCTGTGCCCCTCCCCCCACACACCTGCATGCCCCTTCTCCACCGCGATGGGTAGTGCTGCTCCCCAGCTCTGTAAAGCATATTCTGGGTGAGGAAAGGCAAGCATATGTTTCTGCGTGACAGAAATTGCTTTCTTCCCCTCCAGTTTGTCCTCTCATCAGGACATGTCAGATCGTAGAGCAACCTTGGCAATCACAGCTCCCACCTCTTCATTTTACAAATGAGCAGCCCAAGGCTTAAACTGAGAAGTGGCTTCCCCATGGTCACACAGACAGCTTGTGGCAGACTCAGGATTCAAGCACCCATTTCCTGCCTTCTCCATTGCACCAGACGCTGAGAGAACACGGAGAGCTAAAAGAAGGAAAAAAATAGATCTTCACGAAACAGCTTCTGGATTTAAGGCCAGCTTTATGATAAGTGGCAATGATGCCTCACAAGCTAGGGGAGCTAGTGTGAATGAACTTATGTAATAAACATTATCACAGAACATGTGTCATCAAACACCTGCCAGATCTGAGCGCTGGCACCAAAGCTGCTTTCATTGTCAAAGAAAAGAGGGGGAAAGAGAACTTGGCTGAACAAAGCTGGCAGGCGTTTTTACTCGAAAATTCAGAGGTAATTTCTAGAGGAACAGAAGTACATTTTCAAAGTTTGTTTTGTTTTTACAATTTATTTAAATGTGATTGGCTGAATTTAATAATTAAAGATGTGCAGACACTGAGGACTAATTGGTGTCCAAAGCTACTTTTAAGTCCACAATCCTTTGTGTCTGCCACAGTTTCCCAGAAGCCTCAAGATGGCCAGGTCCAGAGTAGTGTCTGAAGTTGCTGATATTCATGGAAACACATCCAAAACCACTCTTGTTCTCACTGGAATCTCTTCTTATTAACAGAACATGCCAGAGTGAAAAAGACATAGACCATTTGTCATTTATGTGAAGAGGATTCTTTTTATTTTTTAAAGAATAATTTATTTAATTTTATTTATTCATTCATTTTTTCCTAAGATTTGACCAGAGCAGAGAGAGACAGAGAGAGAGAGAGAGAGAGAGAAAGAAGGGGAGAAAGCAAGCCACCAGGTCCAAGACTCAAACTGTAGTTGACCATGTAGGAGTGTTCAGTGCCTTAACCACCATGTTACCTGCTGCTTTATTTTTTAAAGAATGATTTATTTAATTTTATTTATTCATTCACTTTTATCTTAAAATTTGACCAGACTCTGAGACACATGCACACATACATACACACACACACACAGAGAGAGAGAGAGAGAGAGAGAGAGAGAGAAAGAAAGGGAGAAAGCAAGCCACCAGGTCCAGGACTCGAACTGTGGTTGGTCATGTAGGAGTGTTCAGTGCCCTAACCACTACGCTACCTGCTGGTCCCCATATATTAAGGATTCTTTGGCCTTTACTGGAGGCCAACTTACATGAACATGATGGGGCAGTTGCCAAATATGTGGCCACTTCCCTTTGGCTATCCACAGATTGTTTTTTTTTAACTGCAGGATCTGTTCTTTAATTTACTCATTTAACAGCTATTATTGTGAGAGCATTGGACTAGAGGGGCAGGTGTTACAAGCACTTTGAATTTCAGTTTTCTCATTCATAGGATACTATTTGTTATCTGTGGTACAGAGCTCACCTGGTTGTTGGGGACATTAAGCCAATGATGGGTGGAAGCGCTTTGAAAACACTAAACCGTTCACAAATGTGAAGAATTGTTTCTACTATTCTGTGACCAACAGTATGGTAAGCACCAAAGGCATTCAAAAGAAAAGTAAGAAATGGTCCTGACCCTCCAGGAACTCACAACCTGGGGCATACCCGAATGAAACATACATAACACCTCAATGCTGTGAACTATTTACTGCTTAGATGATAGTTAAAGACTCTAAGCCCTCTGGAAGGACAGAGAAGGGGTAGGTGATTAATGGAGCGGAGAAGCTGGCTGTGCCTCCAGGAGAAAGTGAAGCCCAAAAGCCAGGTGATGGCATAGACAGAGAAGATGGAGGGGAAGGTCTTTATGGGTGGAGCTCACCTGAGTTAACTGTTTTCCCAGTGGAGGATTTTCTTGATAGATTTTAGGTAGGTCAATCTACTTGGAGTTAAGACTCCCAGTCATGCTGGAGTTAAGAATTTTAAAATCCGAAGCCAGTTATAAGTAAAGGAGAGTCAGAGTTGCTTCTACACATCTTTTGTTTAACGTTCCCAACCACCAGGTGAGGTCTGCAGCGCTAATAACAAATAGTATCTTCTGGGCAAGACAACGGCAGTTCTAAGAGCTTGTCACACCTGCCAGCCTGGTCTAATGCTCCCACAATAATAACTAAATGAGTCGTTAGGAAATGAAGTCGTTATGAAATGATGACAGGGAAGAACTACTGTGTAAAGGATGGACCTATGGAGAGCTGCAGGGAAGAGAAGGCTGCACGAGGCCAGGCTGAGGATGAGATGATTCTTGTTAAGTCCGAGGGAAACGAGGGAAGAATTCCACGTACATGAAAGACAGTTCTATGCGCAGGAGGAAGACCAGACATTATGCACTTTCCTTTCTTGGTGATTTATCTTGTGGATTTGAGTTCAATTGGGCAAGGAGGGGCAAAAACGCAGGGTTCCTCTTGATATGTGCATGAGAAGATTCATGAGAACAGAATTGCTTTCTCAGTGTCTATTTGTCTATCTACCAGAAAGAATGGGCAGTTGCTGGCTGGTGCATTGAGTCAGAGATGACCAGAGCTAGACAGGACCGATAAGGTCATCTGGTCACATGTGTGGCCAATTAAAGAATTTCTGTCCCAACATCGGAGGCTGATATGTTCATCTACCCTCTCCTCTGGCCTTTCTTTCTTTCTTTTTTTTTTTTTTTGGAGAGGTTTTTGCTATAGGGCACATGCGCTTGCCAGAAAGACAGAGAGACAGAGAGCTAGAAAGCGAGAAATCACACCCTGGAGGGATGATCACTCTCCAATACCCTCTCCTCCATTCTCCTCTTGGGATCTTGGGCATGCACGCCCACGTGCCTGGCATGAGTTTAAGCCACCTGGTCCGGGACTCGAACCATCGTTGGCTACGTGGGAGTCCAGCGACATAGTTATTACACTAACTGCTGGTCCCTCCTCTGGTCTTTCTAATGAAGAGAGTTCACTACTGCTTGAGGAAGAGCTTATGTGTTAGATGTGTCTGTGGCACATCTAACTTTTTATTTTAAGGTTTTGTAAATTTCCCAATTAGCTCTCTTAT